GCCTCTGCTGTAATAGACTGTTGATTGTTGGAGTTCAGCAAATCATTCTTGAATTACATGGACTCACATTTAATTAAATAGGTTAAATGACTTGTTTTAAACCAGTCACAGGATCCATGGCCTTCACTAGCACCCTGGCTGAGAAAGGTTATTCTGTTTATGTACTCATTCCATAAACAAATATAATGTGACTGTGTTTATTAGGTAAATAACAGGTGTCTAGTGTTTGACTATGTTTCTGACGTATCTCCTCATATTCATATGTAAAGGGGTTTCTGTGCCAAAAGGGAAAATCTCTGCCTAAATTCCAGCTTAAATAGAACCTTCAAACCCCATGCCCAGGAAGAGAATTAGCACTATTTACTGCTTTCTACAAAGACTTAACAATGAGGCACTAGACCACATATTGCCTTTCATAGCAGAACGTATTTTCACAAGACTTTCGAGCCATTGCAACACAAAAAGTTTCTAAAGAGAAGTCAGATATATTATTTTAACATTTCTTTGTTTCTCATTCTGCTTGGCCATATTCCCCCTCCCTGAATTCTTCTTTAGCTTTGGGCTTCTGTGTGTGGTCGTTTCCCAGCCCACTCTCCACCCCAAACCCTTAAAAAAATTCCCATCTCACCTCACCCCTGAGGGAAATGAACAGATATTTCCCTGTGGAGAAATCTCCTTTATAGCTGGGACACATCCCAGGGCACATGAGCCTCCCTCTGCAAACCAGCCCAGCAGCCCAGGTACTTTTTAAGAGTAAGAGCGAGCATCTAAGAAACAGGCATCTGAAGAAAAGCAGGTGTCCTTGGACCCTTACATTTGGTGGGGTAAGTCATAGTCCAAGTGTGAAAAGTGAAACCTCAGGACTTTCTTAGGAGATGCCAGAGAAGGCTGGGAGGGCCTAATTACTGATTACTTATTTGTGAGGTGTGCTGCCCCATTCCTTAGGGAGAGGTACTTTTGGGGCTGTTTTTCTTCTTTGCAAACCAAGGAAGAAGTTAATTTTAGAAGCTGCTTCCAAAAGTAGTGTATCTGTAGACTCTTGTTTGTGTGTGTGGTGGATTGGGGACTGGGAATCAAGGCAAATGTAAATTATTTTTCTTTTTCTCAAAATACTGATTTATTTTTTTTTTGACTCCTAAGCTGTCTGTTCAGTGAAAGAGCACTAGAGAGGGAGCTGGGGGTACAAGGCTCTGCTCCCATTGTGACCATGGATGACCACATAGCCTTGATGAGTCAGTGTGTAACACGGTAGAACCAGCTTCCTAGCCCACCTCCGAGATGCTTTGCAAAGGACCAAGACCTACTTGCGTGTGG